GATTCTCTTGATTCTCTTGATTCTCTCGATCCTTACTATCGACCAAATATAATTAATTAAAAGAAATCGATAAATTAATTAAAATCATTAAAAAATAGAAAAAATTTGATTTCTTACACTTTAATGATAGTCGCTGGACGACCTAAGGGTGAATTTGTAATTATACGAGAAGGTCTTCGAGTGGGTGGAGGCGTGGGCGTAGCAATAATTGGTGGTGGTCCATTTCTTTGCAAATATTGATCAATAGTGCTAATAACAAGGGGACGCCTGGCCAAATATTTCTTGGAAACGAAAAAAGGGACCCACCCTTTTATGTCCGTTTCTAGAACATATGTTACTTTTGTTGCTGGAGGATTAACAGAGACCGGGTCAAGAATCCAACCATTAAGTTTGATTGTTGCACGAATTCTGTTTGCGACACGTGGAACTTTTGGAGTCTCAACAGATGTAGATACAAAATATACGACTCCTGCTGGAGTGCATTCTATTTTTTCCACCAGGGACAAATCTCGTGCTCTTTTATTATAAAAAAAAAATTATTTATTATTGAGTGCCTAATTATACAACACAATAATACAAGATAGCATAAATTACTTGGACCCAGCCAATGCTTGAATGACCATATAAGTCAAACTTGTGGAATCGTTTAAATTTTCAATCAAATTGCCGTCCTCATACCTTTGATTGTAACCAAAAAGTTAGATTAAGGATAGACAAGATAGATAATAAAATTTATTACAACAAACAAAAATTCACCAATCGTCCCAGAGTTTTCTATTTCCTATTACCGCGAATACTGTTTGTGGAGTGAAACCGTGTATAACGCCTTCACCTTTTAGAATAACTGACTTTCCATTATTATCAATGCCAGGTTTTGTCCATACAGAAACGCCACTCTTATGGGTAAACATTCTTTTCCAGCCAGGTGCACTCGCAACAAGTTTCAATTGTTGCATGACTTCCTCAGCTCGTTGAGTATGATAATGCGGTGTTGACTTTGTTGGGTCAACTTCAATATTATCAATGTCGTCTTCATCAGAGAAATTTTCGTAAGAAGTCGCCCTGGATGCTAGCTCTTCATCATATGATTCGACAAAATCTTCCGAAGGTTCTGAGGTATGATAACCGTTGCCGCTATTTATAGTATTAACACTATGTTTATGTTTAAGTTTTTTATCTTCCATTGTTACTAAGTTTAAGTTTTCTTCCAAATCTAAAATGTGCGTTGCTTCGGTATTCAATTTTGTGAATTATGCGAGGTTTTGCTCTTTAAAATGTACCTATAAATCAATAATAGTAAAACTACTCGATAGTGAAACAGTATGCAAGTAAGGTGGGTGAAAAGTCGCGTCGTAAGGAAGAAAGGTAAAAGAGGATAAATTACGGCGTTATAGAACAAAAACGACCTCGCGTTTTTGAAAATTTGAAAAGGATTGAAAAGTTCAATAAAAAAAAATCTGCTACTACTACTACTACTACCAAAAAGCACAACTTTTCGGTTAAAGAATAAGGTTTTTAAAAAGCAAATTTCAGAATAATGATCTCTGGTATTTACATTAGTGCGCGCATTCGGGGATTTACCTTTATTTACTTTATTTAGATGCTGAGTCTTAAAAGCCGAAAATGCATGGAAGAAACATCACAATCACAATCACAATCACAACCACGAGTAGTTGATTTTTTCCAGAAAACTCATGATATTTGAAATTTTTTCATATGATTTTTTTCAACAGAATGCGCGTATTCAACATATGCAAAAAAGAATTCCATGAATTTTATTATATTAATGCCGTTTCTAAAGTAAACTTATTCTAATTAAATATATTTTTTTACATTGCTCGCATATCAGATCCAGAATGCCA